CGGCATACAGAGGCCTGCACAGCCATTCCCAAACCAGCGGGGCGCTGGTCAGTGATTGGCTAATTGACCCTATAAGTGTCAGTTTGCCATTTGCTGCTGCCATCTCTGACGATAAGCGCCTGCCAGAGTTCCAAACATTAGAAAAATAAACAAAAATTGCCGCTGCTCGTTAATTCAACTTTTTTCCCTTCTTATGAAAAATCCTTGTGTAACTAAATGCTCCAAAATGAAAGGGCCGTGTGGGTTAACCTTGAGGAAAACCGTCTATGGTACTTGTGGCAAACACAATGAACCAGACAAATCCGAGGCAGGCGATACAACAAGGAAGTCACGACGGACAGCGGAACGGAAAAGTATATCGCAGGCAGATTCCGCACAACGAAGAACGGAAAGCGGGCACACAGCGCAGATGCTCTCGAAGGAAGGCGTGAGTTCATATACAACAGCGGACGTTTAAAGTGCTGCTTATGGATGACAGTTATGGTTGAACGGCGAAAGGAGCTTGTGAAAGTGTGTGCATGTGTGTGTGTGACACGAATCTTAAACAAAAGGACTAACAGTATGAGCATATAGCAATTTTGGATCAGGAATGCGCACCGAGGTAAGGAAGACCCACAGAAAATGTTGAAGTTTCGACTCGCCTTCCAAAGACTTTAAAATGTGCCACAATGCAGCGATGCCCCGTCGTGAAACATAAGTGGGGAACACCACAACCACTAGACGCAGTGCACAATCGAAGAAAGTCTACGTACTGGTAACTTGTAGCCTAGATAGTGGGCGATTAAGAGGGTTGGTTGTGGATTACCTCCTAACCGCTACAAACACGCTACATTTAGTCAATGAATTTTCCAATGTAACGACAACAGATTTGGCCTGGATGGATTCACGAAGAATAGCCTAATCGCATATCACAATCAGTCCAGTAGGCTTCAACTAAAATAGGAAATTATTCCCTGAAGAATGCGGATGAAGAGGAAAAATCTGGAATTGGAAACTAAATTGTGTTTCTAAAATTGTCTAGCCAATTATTTCTAACAAATGTACGATCCCAACCTCAGTGTTTCAGGAAGAAAATTAAGACAAAATTGCACGTAATAAGTTACGGTTCAGCCTTTTTATGGGAATGATTAGTGAGCAATCAGAGTGCGCAAACTAAAAGAGGAACCTATATCGAAGCCAGCCTTTTACTCTTCTGTCACATTCCAGGGGCGTGACTGAAGTGAACGCAGTGACTGGTGCGATGGAGAACTGCTGTCTAAGACATATCGCACGCATGCACGGTAAGCTACCAGGCAGGCGTAGCGCTATTCGAATAACAACTGCCACAGGTATTGGGAAACGCGTTATGGTTTAGAACACCCACGCGACAGACAATTGTTTTGCCTGCGGGGGCGGGGGGTGTCCGAATCGCGTGTCGTTGGCAGGCCACTACTGGCAGCTCAGTTGACCTCACATCAGGTAACACCTAGCACAGAATACGCAGGCGCTGGACGGTGAAAAAGTGCCGCAGCGCCCATGATGTCCAGCATATACTCAGCATCCGCGATGGTGCAACTGACCGCCAACGAAACATACAGCTACCATGGCCAAGCCCCTGGAATCTAAAACAGCGCGTTTGCAGTATACGTCCAGACATAGGAAACCTAAATTTCATCTTTAAACCACGCTGCCATATCTATACAATCACAAAAATGAGCTGTAAACACCAGCAAACATGTTATATAATTAAAACTAGACATATTTTTCTGTTTTACCTGCCCGTATGAGTCGCAATTCGAGAAACTGGACAAGTAATGGATACATCTAATTTAACCCACTATCACATACCATATATAGGAAGTAGGTTTAAGGCTGCCGTCTAGTTTACGAAGTTTCGGGGGACAGGTACTTCTATTGCTTGAACTTTTCAGTTAAGGCCTGTCAAATATAAAGGGACTTAGAGTACATGAAATAGCGTTGGCGAGACTGAGCAAAGCATGAAATTGTCGAAGTGATTGACATCTGCAAGTAAAGGAGCAACTGGCTTGGTAAATACGAAAAAGGCCAGCGCATACATAAGCACGAACGTGCCTGAACAGATAAGACTTTATCGCAACATCTTGGATTGTCTGGATCAAGAAGCTAAACAACTTTAACCCCCCTGCCCCAAGAAACGCTAAAGAAAAGCCAAGTTGGTTATTTGAGGCAAACAGCTATAAAAATATTGCTACTCCTGTCAGACTGAAAAAAAAACATACGGACAACTGCCAATCCGGCCATCCAAAACTGGACTGTATCGTGGGTTGATGGGCAGCAATTGGCATCTCAAAGGGGAATTTCTGTGGGCAACCGCTAAGCAGGATCGATACCTGGTCACACACCAGCGTGCAGTCACCAATTCTGAGGCCTGCTTAG